AGCACCTTGAAAAGGAGCTTGGTTACATCAAACATTTCCTGATTATGTTCAGTATGACTTAAAAGCACACCTTTTAAAAACCTTCACCCATTACGATTTACAATCTGCCTTTATTGCCTTCAATCTTCATAAAGATTATTTTATTATTGAAATATCGGTAGGATGCAGAGGAGAAGTCACAAAAAGCTGTGATGTAACCCCTTGCTAAGAACTTGCATGCCCACAAAGACAGTTATGCTGGAGCAGTATCTACACTGAGATATCGAACTTCTAATTTAAAATGTAGAGAAGAAAGTCTACTACTTATGATGAATACTTTCCCTATGATAATATTTCAATAGAAAGCAAAATAGTAACAGCAAATACTAATTGTGGATAACAATGAATTTAGTAATATGTAGTGGACAAAACATTTTTTTTTAAATGTGGTAGGGCTTCCCTGGTGGCGCAGTGGTTGAGAGTCTGCCTGCCGATGCAGGGGACATGGGTTCGTGCCCCGGTCCGGGAAGATCCCACACACCGCGGAGCGGCTAGGCCTGTGAGCCATGGCCGCTGAGCCTCCGCGTCCGGAGCCTGTGCTCCGCAACAGGAGAGGCCCTAACAGTGAGAGGCCCGCGTACCGCAAAAAAAAAAAAAAAAAAAAAAAAAAAAAAGGTAGCCACAATATCTCAATAAAAATACTTAAATCTTTTTAGTATCAAATCCTCAGTAAGCTATGACTTCTACCAAAAACACAAGACCATAACCAACATTGCTGACGGCCTTTTAAAAACGTGTTAATAATATTCCTATTTTGCTCACTGCTTTTCTTCACCTTTACAGATGACATTTTTCAAACTATAAAATGCATTCTGCTGGCAAACCTTCTTGCTTCAACAGTTCTCAGTTTTATAATAGTAAATCTACATTCTTTGCTACTGAGACATCCACTGTCTTTTGGTATGTGACTTTGAATGAGGCAGAGAACAAGCCATACATTTAAAAATCAATACCTAACCTTATCAATATTCATTTTACTTTGTCAATACAAAATACGAAGGTGAAAGAGCAGTAAATAAGCTAAAGCACTGAAATAAATTCAGTGTTCCTGTCACAATTAATAAATGTTCAACCGATAACACCGCTGGCTAGTCTATAGCCTTACTTAAATTATGCTTCAGTGTTATTGTTACAACAGGGTGAGTAAAATTTTCAATACGCTAGCAGGTAAAGATGATCAGATTTTGGGTTATTAATTTCATAGGTAATTTTAAATCTTTAAAAATATTATTTATTATGGATACAGTATATAACTGTTTGGCATCTTAAACTGTTGTATAAACACAGTTTGGGATTATAAAGTGCCTAATTATAGTTTTCTGATAAACTTTTGCTAAATCTTTTCTAAATCTGCTATTTGATGACATAATATTTCATATATAAATCAGACGGGATCATCCAACAATATTCAGACTGTCAGCCTTTTAACTCTCATTCCTGATTTCAAATCAGAAAGTGTTACCTTCACCTGTCTTTTTCCAGCTTAGATTGAATGTTGACTAAAGGTAGAAGGAACCGTGAAAACAGATCTCAATTCAATGTGTTTTCTGGGAGGTCTATAACGGCCTACAAAATGGCAAGAATAGTTTCTTGAAAATAATTCTACATGCTAACTCAACTTTGGAAGCTTATAAAGATAAGATTCTTTGTTATGTGATTAACTATATTCCAGAATTTGAAAACCACAATTTTTGGAGATAAGATGAACTAGGATTCATAACCTTATTATCAAAGTGCATTGATGCAAAAGCATTTCTTACTTGAATTTGGAGAATAATCTTCACCTTAGAGCTGATTCATTTGTGGTGGAAGATATTCTTTTTAAAACTAAGGACTTTTAAGTAACCTCATTCTCTTCCTCTTTGAGAGGAACGGTTATGCATGGATTGTAAAAATGCATCGAAAATGAGTAACCTAATTCTCCTACTCCAATACTATTGGATTAATTACAAAAATGCATTAAATTTCTATGAGTTATGTTCTTTTAGGTAAATAATCTAGTAATAGAATCAAAATCTTGAGTCTTAAGAGAATCACTAAAGTTCTGAAATACAACACTTGGAATATGCTGGTGTAGTAAGCTTATGAATGTTTTAGGCTAAAGTTTAATGTTTATACCTATACGCTGTAAAAATGATTTCCTCTGATGCTAGTGAGTTGTAACATCAAAATCACTCTGTAGAAACAACCACATTATGCTCTCCCCAACCATTATGCATTTTCCTTCTCACTTCACATATGTTCAGAGTGTTAGGACCTGACCCTGATATTCTCTCTTCCTTATTGCTGGCTCTGAGGTGCTTTAGTCACATTCCTAAGATTGTTCTTGTACTATTTCTGCCACCAGTGTTTGAATCATTGAAAGGTAAGAGAATTCAGGGGACCATTCAACTGGAATGGGAATATTAAAGAATCCTATACCTGCCTTATGAAAGATTTGAGGAACTTATGACATGTATTTGATCTAAAAGTGGCTGTATGTTCCTGTATAAAGAGATATATTAGAAGTGTTGTAATGAAAGTTCTGTATTTCTCTACAGCAAATTTAGATAAATCTTTTATGGCACTTAAGATACATAATAGTCTATATAAATAAATTATATAATAGTCTATTTATATATAAATAAATATATATATATATAATTGCATAAGACACATGGAATAAGACGGGCTTTACATATATATTCTTACAGAAAGGCCATATGTATGTTATGAAAAGATCATGAGTTTAGGAGTCACGCAGATATTGGCTTGAATCCTCCCTTTGCCCTTCAATCATTCTGCCTTCTTAGGTAGCTAAGAAGACCCTAACACGTGTCTGAATCTTCATTTTATGGTATAAAGTGAATGATGATAACACCTAAGTCATCAAGTTGTTGCAAAGATAAAATAAGGTTTTGGTACATAGTAGGCACCCAGTAAGTAGTAAATATTATTCTATATGAACACAAACACATTCTGCACACAGGTATTTCCTACTTCCAAATTCTGAAAATTCAACAAAGTTAGAGGATGAAGATCAGATATCACACTTGTAACTACACTTATAACTACAGTTCATAATTTAGCCCTTTATGTGGATGGAACAACTGTATGTGGGTGCTCCAATTTTACGTTATTCTTTAATTTTTTAGTGCTGAACTATGGGATAGGTCTAGTGAACACGGAATTTAAGCTTCACCTCTTTTACTTCCTTTGCAATCATCATGTCAAGACATGTCTATTCATATCTGTTATCTACATCTGTATTTTCCCCTTCTCACTGCTTACTCTCCTGTTGAATCTGAATCTTATTTTCATATTCTATAATTAGTCTTAGAAAACATAACTCTTCCCGTAAAAGAATTCCTAAATGAAGCTGAGACAGTTTATAAATATGAATGGTTAAGGACCCCAAGCAACAGGCCACTACTATAATAATAACTTTGTAATTGATCAAGGATCAACATGGAAAGCATTTTCTCATAGTCAGTTTGCTGAATTACAAACCCATACAGTTAATTGTTTGTTCCTGTGCGTGTGTCCACACTTAAGGCCTAGTCGGCTCCCTTATCACAGGTTTTTACCTCTGCTTCCCGCACCACTGCTCTTTCACGAGATCCTTTTTTTTCTGTTTAGCATCTTTATTGGAGTATAATTGCTTTACAATGTTGTGTTAGTTTCTGCTGTATAACAAAGTGAATCAGCTATACATATACATATATCCCCATATCCCCTCTCTCTTGCATCTCCCTCCGTCACACCCTCCCTAACCCACCCCTCCAGGTGGTCACAAACCACCAAGCTGATCTCCCTGTGCCATGCGGCTGCTTCCCACTAGCTGTTTTACGTTTGGTAGTATATAAGTCCATGCCACTCTCTCACTTTGTCACAGCTTACCCTTCCCCCTGCCTGTGTCCTCAAGTCCATTCTCTACATCTACGTCTTTATTCCCATCCTGCCCCTAGGTTCTTCAGAACCATTTTTGTTTTTTTAGATTCCATATGTATGTGTTAGCACACAGTATTTGTTTTTCTCTTTCTGACTTACTTTACTCTGTATGACAGTCTCTAGGTCCACCCACCTCACTACAGATAGCTCAATTTCGTTTCTTTTTATGGCTGAGTAATATTCCATGGTATATATGTGCCACATCTTCTTTATCCATTCATCTGTCGATGGACACTTAGGTTGCTTCCATGTCCTGGCTATCGTAAATAGAGCTGCAATGAACCCTGTGGTACATGACTCTTTTTGAATTATGGTTTTCTCAGGGTATATTGCACGAGAGCTTGCAATACATATTCATCTTACTCTTATCCTTCCCTACCAAGCTCAGGTCTTTGCCTTTCCAGGAAGGCTTCCTGTCCCCTTTGGTCTAGTGACTTCTCTCAGCTCAAAACCTGTGGTTCTCCCTATAGTACACTCATTAGAATGACATGGTGTTTGAGGTGGAAATGATGAGAGATTTTTTATTCTAAAGCTAACTTGTCTAAGTAAGGAAAGACGAAATCAAAGATCTCTGCAGAGCTGGGTGTAGAAACCAGACTGCCACATTCATGACCAGGCTGGCATCTACTACCACATGGGCCTTGTGTTTTGAGGCTGCTTCAATACTTGTGAATTCATTACTATTAATTTCCTCTGGGGTTATTTACCTTTTCATCAATTTATGCCTTATTTTCCCAACAAGTCTGTAACTTTCTTGAGGCCAAAGACACAGACTTTGAAGGTATCTGTATCCTGTAATACCTCACACAGTTTTGCAGGTATGTAGGAAATACTTTAGTGATCGGCGGCCTGAAAAACCTACACAAGGAACACACAATACATCCTGACACCAAAGGCAAATGATTTGCTTTACTGGTTTCTTGTAACTGTGCTTCGTCCTCAGTGCAAGTGATTAAGGGTTATCTGTATTTTACTCTTGAAGATTTATGAACTTTATATGTGTGTTTTGCCCCAAGCCCTTTTTCTTTTACCTGCTGTAGTAGGTCCAGGCAAAGGTGCAGCTTTTCTTCTCCGTTTGATGTCTCCAGTGCATAGGGATCCTAAATGCATGCTTGTTTGCCTACAAGTAATTATCAGAAAAAACTATTAACAAAGGAGGGGAAAAAATGACACATAAATACACAGCTTGTATAATCTGAACCTAAATCAAAACATTCTCAACAAAGATGGAGCAGCCTAGTAAAACCACCAATCTTGTTTATATCGAAACATAATTACGTTTGTTGACAAGCGTTCAGCAGCTAAATGCGCCATCATAAATTGTTACTGGAATGAATAATATAAAAGGAATGCTTTTTAATTTTCAAAACTGGCAATCTTTCTGGCTCAACATAAAATCAAGCACTGTTGCTTCTGACAGGAAAATAGCTAAGATTAATTATCTAAAGAGAGCACAATATTGTTGCTAGGTTATCAATTGGTTACTAATGCTTTACTGTCAGAACAACATTTATTACAGGAAAAGTATGATCAATTTCTTTTAGGATATTATGTGGCAGTGAATTCTCTTAAAACATTTTAAATAGAAGGAAATAGTGATGTTCTTCCTTACAATTCACAGGATTAGAATTCTTTAATTATTTATTAGCTAGGTGAGGAAACAATTTGAATGCATTAATGCTGATATCAATACTAGACAAGCTAACATGATATTGGATTACCTTTGTAAAGACATGATGTATAAGAACTAAGAAGCAGACCTTCTGCTACTCTTGGAACTAGGCAGAATTAGACTGTCTGTCTAACATGGACTCCTAAATTTACGAGTTTTGGAAAAATCAGAAATGGCTCAATTGGAAATCAAGACAAACTAATAAGATGGAAAAGTTGTAAAAGTCTTCAAGATTTTCAAGCTATAGAGGACTCTTATGTTCATGTCCTGGATTATAATCCCCGACACGGGGTTGGGATAGTACCTGGGGATCATGAAGCAGAAATAAATAAAGCATGTTTACTAGAAAACACGACTTTTTAGTAATTCAGAGAGATATGTGGTAGTACACTGAAGTTTTATAGGGCCCAATTAGAAAACAACCAGATTATTAGAGAAAAATGTAAAAGGAAGAAACTAATTCAGGTGAAACTCAAAATATATACTTCCACACTTACACCCAGGTGTTTAAATATAATGAAAAATTGGAGTTGGGGAGTAAAATTACTTTAAATACAGATTCTATCTATAATGTACAAAGTAAAGAACAATCAGTGAGCTGGCTAATCCAAGGGGTATATAAAACCAAAGAAGCATACTGTGAAAATCTATCAATATAGGCAGAAGCAAACGGGTATTTATCTAGTTTTCTCTTCCCTTTGTATTGAGTGCATAATGATTCTCTTTTATAAATATTTATAATTATTAAAATATTTTAAAAAATTAGTTCATTCAATTAATGATTAACTTTGCAGAAATACATACACACATGTCAAAATGTTTACTAGTGTGTATAACTAGTATGTATAACTATAACATTTTTATTGCATTTTGAAGTGTGGTTTTGGCTCATAATACCAAGAAAAAATAAATGGCTGTATTTATTTTATATTTTATTTTATATAGGTATAATATATATTATATATATTTACTTTATAAACATATTTATATTTTATATTTATATATATTTATATATTTTTAAAGCTATATCGAAATTAAAAAAATTAAAAAGTCTCATCCTTTTTTTTTTTTTTTGCGATACGCGGGCCTCTCACTGTTGTGGCCTCTCCCGTTGCGAAGCACAGGCTCCGGACGCGCAGGCTCAGCGGCCATGGCTCACGGGCCCAGCCGCTCTGCGGCATGTGGGATCCTCCCGGACCGGGGCACGAACCCATGTCCCCTGCATCGGCAGGTGGCCTCTCAACCACTGCGCCACCAGGGAAGCCCAGTATCACATCCTTTTTATAAAAAAAATAATGAATTCACTTATTCAGCAAGCAATTATTAGTATCTACTGCTGACTTAGCATAAGACTCCATAGTGATGGTGAAAATGAGGAAAAAGGAAGTGGAAGATACCAATGAAATGGAAAGTTCAGTTCTTATTATTGGAAGAGTTTTAAGTCTGAGTGGGGAGATTAAGTCAAAATATATGAAATAATTAGTGGCAGGCACAATGAACTTTAATATTACTAGAGATTATGATATTTACTTAAAACAA